TACGAGGAATGATCCGTGTGAGGGGTGTGCCGAAATGGGCGGCGGTAGTGCCAACGGACGTCCTCGCTAGTGCCAGAAGTGAAGCTCCCTACGGGGCACGCCCCGTGTGAAAGGTGTGCCGAAATCGACGTGTGCACGCATGCGGGCGCCTTGCCTGGTGCCTTCAGTGGAGCTTTCTGTCAAAGATGATCTGACAGGAATGTGCTGAACTTGGCGTGGGGATCGCGCGCGGGCGCCTTCGATGGTTCCAGACGTGGAGCTCCGCATGGAGAACGATCCGTGTGAAGGGTGTGCCGAACTGGGTGTGGGCACAGCATGCGGGCGCAGAAAAAGGTGGCGGTAACACTTGCGGTCGCGCCAACTGAGGCCGTACATGGATCTCCCTGAAAGGTGCGAAACGAGTGAGGGGTGCGCCGAAACGGGACATAGTAGCGCGTGCGGTCGCGCCCGCCTGGGGCTGTATGTGGAGCTCTCCAGGGGGTGTGAGGCGTGCGAGGGGTGCGCCGAAGTTGGCGTGGGGAGAACTCCTCGCTGGTGCCAGAAGTTGAGCTCCCTCGGGGGCACGATCTGCGTGAGGGGTGTGCATGGGCGTGGGACCCGCATGCGGGCGTCCGCACTGGTGCCGTAAGTGGAGCTCCCTAGACAGCACGATCTGCGGGGGGGGGCATGGGCGTGGGGACGCACGCGTGCGTCCGCACTGGTGCCGTAAGTGGAGCTCTCTAGGCAACACGATCTGAGTGGGGGGGGATGCATCGGCGTGGGGACGCACGCGTGCGCCCTTGCTAGTGCCTTATGTGGAACTTTCGGGGTACGATACGTATGAAGGGCTGGGGCCCGGTGTGGGGCTCCGTGTGGGGGCATGCGCCACGTGAGAGGCGTGCCGAATGAATGTGGCGCCGCATGCGTCCCCCACTGGGGCCGAAATTCTGACTCCATATACGGGGACAAGCCGTGTGAGCGGTGTTCCGACATGGATGCGAATAGCAGAGGCAGGGAGAGGAGGAGGAGGAGGCGGAGGAGGAGGATGAAACCCTGAAGTCCATGAGCTCATACAGTTGGATGGTGTGGCGTCTGACCCAAAGTTGTTGGGAAGGCTTCTGGTGCCGACCCATTGGTTTCTGGCAGGCTTCCAATGCCTGAACCCTGTGAAGATGGAACAGCGTATGGTGCCCTTCCGTGCCCACCACGTCCCGCACACAGGGACTTCGCGCCCTCCCCTGTTGTGGGAGGGTGGGTGCGCGGGCCGCCCCTCCCGGGCGCTGCACGTGACACGTCAGGGCTGGTGGAGATCTTTTGGGATAGAGCAGAAAACAAGTGTTCTACGGCTTGTTAAGCTGTGCCGTCGAACCCTTGGTTCGTTAGGTGGCTCTGACGTGGGGGCGAAGATTCGCGCGTAGCGAAAAGGGGCGCGCAGAAACTGCTCGAGCAAGGGGCCGTTGGAGGCCATCAATTGGGCCCTCATCGGTTGTCGTGGGCGCCTCTTATGAGCTGTCTTGAGGCCGTCTTGGGCCGTCCTGGGGCCGTCTTGGGGGCCTCTTGTGCCTCCCTGGGGCGGCCTCGGGAGCCCTTGGGCCGTCGAGGAGCGCTGGCAAGCCGAAGAAAGCGACAAGCGCCAAAAGCCTTCAGAGACCTAGCTGGAGGTTTGTGAGGTTTGCCTCCGGGGGCCTCTTTTTTTGACGTTTCTCGGAGCTCTCTTGGGGTCTCTGGGGGGCCTCTTTGCCCCTCTGTGGGCCATCTGAGGCACATCTCGGGCAATCGTGGGGCCATAATGGGCCGTCGTGGGGGGCTTTCGAGGCTTCGGAGAAGCCTCCTGGGGCCCACTGGCAGCTGTCTTGGGGCCTTCTGGGGCCCCAGCCACGGACCGGAAGTCCGATCAGATTTAGCACAGCTAGAAAGAGAGAGAGAGAGAGAGAGAGAGCGAGAGAGAGAAAGAGGGAGAAAAATCGAGAGAGAGAGAGGGAAAGAGAGAGAGAGAGAGAGAGAGATAGAGGGAAAGAGAGAGAGAGAGAGATAGAGGGAAAGAGAGAGAGAGGGAATAAAAAAGAGGTACAGAGACAATGGGGACGACGACGATGACGATGACGATGAAGATGACGATGACGATAACGATGACGACGACGACGAGGACGACGAAGACGACGAGGACGACGAGGACGACGAGGACGACGAGGACGACGAAGACGACGAGGACGGCGGCGGCAGCGTCGGCGGCGGAACCGGCCGGACGGGGGTGCGGCTGGCCTGTTTTGAACGTCCTTCGCCTCCATTTCGCTTTCCACTGTCCCCCTCTTTTCTCCTCCTGTCTCCGCCTCCTCCCTCCTGTTGCCCGTTCAACTTTGCTTGTCGTGATCCACCCTCCTCCCCTCTCTTTTTTCTCCCCCCCTTCCTCTCCTCCCCCCTTCTCCTCCATCCTCTTCGCGGGGGCCTGCGTATGGCGCTTTCTTTGCCCCTGGGGTGCTTTCTCGTCACCGCGGCCGAGCGCAGCTGGGGAACCGGGTGCGCTGGGGCCCGGGGAGATGCCCCGGGGAAGTGCTCGGAACGGTTGGAGCGGAAGGCTCCACGGGGGGAGCGTGGTTCGCGGTCTCGCGGCGGCAGCTCGGGCCTTCAGCGGCCTCTCGGGGCGCTCCTGGCGCCCCGGGAGCGCCCTCGGCGAGGCGCAGCTGCAGGCAGGCATCTCGCTGCGAGGAAATCTCCAGGAGCTGACGCAACCGCCTCGGACTGCAACCCTCGAGCGTAGCCTCTGGGGTGAAACGTGGAACCGAGGAGTCCTTCAGGGCGATCCGGGCGCCGCTGGAGCGTGGTCGGCGTGGCGCAGCTGCTGGAAGGCACGCCTCGGCGAGCGAGCTCCCGGGAGGCAACGACGCCGCTTCGAGCGTTGATCCTGCAGCCCCGGCCGCGGGGTGAAACATCGAGTCGGGGGCTCATCAAGGGACGCGTCGTGATTGGCATTTGGAGGCGGCAGCTCGGTCCTCCAGAAGCTGTTGGGGGCGATCCGGGCACACCGGGATGGCATTCGGCGAGGCCCAGCTGCTGGAATGCATCCCGCGGAAAGCGTATCTCCAAGAGCCGACGAAGCATGGGCTCTGGGGTGAAACGCCCAGCCGTATGGGGCGGTCCAAGCAGCTTCGGAGAGCCTTCGGCGAGGCCCAGCTGCTGGAAGGCATTCAGCGGCGAGCGTACCTCGAAGAGCCGACAAAACTCGTGGAACACCGATCTTCGAATCCCGTCCCTAGGCTGGGGCCTGTCGAGGTGTGTGCGTGGATCGCGATCCTCGAGGGATGCACCTGAATCGGAATTTCAAGGCGGATCCAGCCGTTGGCGCGAGAAGGGTTCTGGAGGGCGACAGAAAGGGGAAGCTCACCCAAGCTGGTCCTCGTCCTCTTTTTCCTCCTCCTCCTCCTCCTCCTCCTGCTGCTCGTCCTCCTCGAAATGGGATTGGCGAGCGGCGATCGCGTGCTCTGTAGGGAGCGCAGCTGGGCTCGAAGACACTTTTGGAAGCTCCAGAAGGACGGATAGTGTCGAGGAGTGCTTTGGAAGCGCTCGAAGGCCAGCGGATGTGGAGCACACGTTTGGAGGCTCTAAGGTGCTCTGGAGGCGTCTTTAGAGGTACCTCTCGAAGGGCCTCTGGAGGGGCTTCTAGACGGGCCTCTAGAGGGTGGCTCTCGCGACTCTGGAGAGGAAGAGCGCTTGCCTCTATAAGCGTGAGCCTAGAATGTGCCTCTAGACGATGCTCTTCCCAAATCTGAATTTTCAAGAGGAGGCTCTCCTCTCCTCCCATCTCCTCCCACGTCGAGCTCCAGGCCTGTTCCTGGCAAGCGCCAAGGAAACCTTAGGGGGACCGAAGAACCCCACCCGGCCACATCCCCGGGGAGGCGAGGGGCATCGCTGGGAGCACCGGAGGGTCCAACAGCGGCGCCGTTACGACAACGTCCAGACTGCGACGTCCCGTCTCACGATGCCGCTCGTGCTCCACAGGTCTTGTCACTTTCGGGTGCGGCGCAGTCGAAAGCCTCAGCCTTGGAACTTGTAGTCCTTGTCCCTGGTAGTTAGGGGTCACCAGGATGCCCGCACGTCCCGTCTCACGATGTGAGGAGTGACAAGGGGGACCTTCCCAGCACTCAGACTTCCACCGGAAAACCGAGAACAAAATGCCAGTGAAATTCGGCACAGCGCCGTGGTAGCATGCCCCCCTCTCACGCTATCTCACCTCCTGCTCCGTCTGGCAAGCCGCAAGCACCACGATGGTTTGCACCACATCCTTCTGTCTGGCACCTTGGGATGGCGAGGGGGACACGAGAAACGTGACCGTTTAGGTTGACACGGTCATCTTCGCAAGCTGCGCCAACGAAGCGTCCGACTGAAGTTTCGCCGCATAACCGAAACGAAGCATATGGAGTGCTTGCAACGCGTCCACATGACTAGCATTCACGCGTCATGCGAAGGAGGCAACGTTTTTCCACCACCGTCGAAGTCCTGCACAGGTCGCCATAGAACATGCGGTGGGAGGAACGGGAGGAGGAGGAGGAGGAGGAGGAGGAGGAGGAGGAGGAGGAGGAGGAGGAAAGAGGAGGAGGAGGAGGGACGAGGAGGAGTAGGACGGAGGAGGAGGAGGAGAGGGAGGAGGAGGAGGAGTAGGAGGAGGAGGAGGGAGAGGAGGGGGAGGGGAAGGAGGACGAAGGGGAGGAGAGGAGGAGGATGAGGAGGAGGATGAGGAGGAGGAGGAGGGGGAGGGGAGAGGAGGCGGTGAGGGGGGAGGAGTGTGAGTAGTGGGGGGAGAAGGCGGAGGGAGAAGGGGGGAGGGAAGAGGGAGGAGGGAGGAGGAGGGAATAGGGAGGATGGAGGAGAGAGGTGGCAGGCTTATGCCAGGACGGCCTCGGCGTTGGCTGCTGCCACCGCGTGGATCGTTCGGCCCTGAGCGACCGCTGCCTCCCGACAGCGCCGCTCGCTCGATGTCGGCCGTTTCCGGGCCCACCTGCGGCGCTCAACCTTGAACGCCGGCGCTGGGGCCGCCGCCGCGCCGACACGACACGAGCCTACCGCAGGTGGTGTGCAGTACACCCAAAAGCGCACCTCGCGCCCCGCGATGCGCGACTCGCGTTTACCTTTGCACCTTCGCGACGCCCCCTTGGAGAAGCGAGGAGCAGGAGGAGGAGGGAGGACGAGGAGGAGGAGGAGGGGGAGGAGGAGGAGGAGGAGGAGGAGGAGGAGGAGGAGGAGGAGGAGGAGGAGGAGGAGGAGGACCAGTGTAAACCCAAGAGCCATCAATGATGTTGGAAGAAGCCTTCCCTCCAAACTCCCTCTTAATAGGCCTCTACAACGGTTCATTTCCACTGAGGGAACTGCCTCGTTGGAAGACAACCGCTTGAAGACCCTGAAGCATGCCAAAACATTGTTCTTGGGATTCCAACGCCACGGGTCAACCTGACTGTTGCGTCTTGAGAACGCCATTCCTGGGACTTCAACGCCGCGAATGAACGTAACTGTTGCACCCTCAGAATCCTGAATCCTTCCAAAACACCATTTCGGGTACGCTGATCATGGGAATCCGTGAAGCTCTTGCAAACTTAAATCATCCCGGCAAAACAACCTAACAGCGATGTGTAGTAGCATATCTGGAAGCATTCCCCTTAAGATTCAGGTGAGAATCCAATTGTAGAATTCTGCTGTTCTAGCAGTCGCAGTCGCATTCGCAATGACAGTCGCAGTGGCAACGGCCTTAGGATCCAATGGAATCCTAAGGATTCCTAGGGATTCCTAAGGCATCCTTAGGTATCCTTAGGAATCCATCGGAATCCTCAGGAAACCTTAGGGATCCTTAGGAATCCTGATTCCTAGGGATTCCTAGGGATTCCTGAGGATTCCAGAGGAATCCTAAGGGTTCCTAAGGATTCCTGAGGATGCTTAACTATGCCTACGGATTCCTCAGGATGCCTACGGAATCCTGAGGATTCTTCCTGGGGATTCCTAAGGATTCCTATGGATTCCTACGGATGCCTCAGCCTGCCTCAGTTTCAGCCTCAGCCTCAGCCTGCCTCGGCTTGCCTCAGCCTCAGCCTCAGCCTGCCTCGGCCTCAGCCTCAGCCTACCTCAGCCTCAGCCTACCTCAGCCTCAGCCTCAGCCTGCCTCGGCCTCAGCCCGCGTCAGCCTCAGCCTCAGCCTGCCTCAGCCTCAGCCTCAGCCTCAGCCTCAGCCTCAGCCTGCCTCGGCTTGCCTCAGCCTCAGCCTCAGCCTGCCTCGGCGTCAGCCTGCCTCGGCCTCAGCCTGCCTCAGCCTCCCCTCCTCCCCCCCCCCTTCCCCCCCCTTCCATTCAGCCTCACCTTGTCTCAGCTTCGGCCTGCCTCGGCCTCATCCTCAGCCTCAGCCTCAGTCTCAGCCTCAGCCTGTCTCGGCCTGAGCCTGCCTCGGCCTCAGCCTCAGCCTGCCTCAGCCTCAGCCTGCCTCAGCCTCAGCCTCAGCCTGCTTCAGCCTCAGCATCAGTCTGCCTTCAGCCTCGGCCTCAGCCTCAGCCTGCCTCAGCCTCAGCCTGCATCAGCCTCAGCCCCAGCCTCAGCCTGCCTCAGCATCAGCCTGCTTCAGCCTCAGCCTCAGCCTGCCTCAGCCCCACCCCAGCCTGCCCCAGCCCGCAGCTTGCCTCAGCGCAGCCCCTCAGCCACGCTGCCCAGCCGCACTTGCCCCCAGCTCAGCCTCAAGCCACAGCCTCAGCCTCAGCCTCACTGCCTCACGCTTCACCTCAGCCCTCACTGCCCTCGGCTTGCCTCAGCCTCAGCCAGCCTGCCTCGGGCCTCAGCCTCAGCCTGCCTCAGCCTCAGTCTCAGCCTGCCTCAGCCTCAGCCTGCCTCAGCCTCAGCCTCAGCCTGCCTCGGCCTCAGCCTGCGTCAGCCTCAGCCTCAGCCTGCCTCAGCCTCAGCATGCCTCAGCCTCAGCCTCAGCCTTAGCCTGCCGCAGCCTCAGCCTCAGCCTACCTCGGCCTCAGCCTGCCTCGGCCTCAGCCTGCCTCAGCTCGGGCATTCAAAATATGGCACAGGACTGGTGTTCTGGGAACACGAAGATCACGGAGTGGCCCACAGTTGGCTCCGGGCAATCCAAATATGGTACAGGAATGGTGTTCTGGGAACACGAAGAACACGAAGTGGCCTACGGTTGGCTCCGGGCATTCAAAATGTGGCCTGGGAATGGTGTTCTGGGAACACGAAGAACACGAAGTGGCCTACAGTTGGCCCCGGGTATTCAACATGTGGCCTGGGAGTGGTGTTCTGGGAACACGAAGAACACGAAGAGGCCTACAGATGGCTCCGGGCATTCAAAATGTAGCCTGGGAATGGTGTTCTGGGAACACGAAGAGTAGGAATCCATAGGGAACTATAGGAATCTACAGGAGTCCTGGGGAGTCCACGGGTTCCCCGGCTTCTCCCGGCACCTTTCCAAACGTCTCTGGGGAGTCAAGATGCTCTCTTTTGGGCCCACTAGAAACCTATCAGTCTTCGCTGTTAGGTAAAAGCGAATGTCCGCGGCGCTAGATAAAGATAATCATATGTTGAAAACCACCCGCCCTCAATCCGTGAAAATCTTGCAATTTGTTAGAGTGAATGTGCGCGGCGCTAAAGCGATAGACGCATTTTGAAAGCCACCCGCCCTCAATCCGTGAAACTGTTGCTACTTTTAAAACGTCAAAGTCTAATGGTGAGGAAGTCTGAAGCGACACGCCCGGCCCGCCCTAACAACTTTCCTCGGGATGCGACATGGTGAAATTATTTGTAAGGAAAAGGGATGGAGGAGGAGAAGAAGAAGGAGGAGGGCCCAGTCCTAGCTTACCCCAACCGAACACATAGGAACGGGAAGAGGGCTGAATTGTGGAAGAAGCCCGATGGTCAAAGAAAATGTCAACCAAGCGCTGACCTCAGAACCGCGAGCCCGCGATGGACGACGACTGGGCGATTCTGGGCCACCTGCCTTCGCGCGCATCGCGCCCCGCGGTGCGCGCGCGTCTTCGCACCCTCGCCGAGCCACCTTAGGGAAGAGCGCCCCTCCGAACCAGGCCGCGATGCGCCATGCCCGAAGCACCTTTGCGCCCCTGGCCGACTCTCCGAGCCCTGCTCTTAGCCGCATGACTGTGGCTGCGAGCAGGCATTGGGCGTCACCGGGAACGCGGAGGCCCCGGGAGGTTTGCATCTGCAGACGCTGGCTGTGTGCTCCACGCGCGTGCACGCCGTGTGCGGCTGGCCTGCCACGAGTCGCTGCTCCGACTTCGCCCAGCTCCCTCCCCAGCCGTGGGTGTGGCTCGGCTACACGCAAGAGCGAGCCTGGGCAACAAGAGTGACCTTTGGTGCGCGGCTTCTTGAGGGCCGCGGGGGGACCAACCACAAGCTCGCAGACGCTGCCATCGCACCGCAGTCGGCGATCGGGGGACCCGTGGGCCCGCACCAAAGGTCATTCCGACGAAGGGTCACTCTTAAGTGTACAGTTGGGGTGTTGACCGAAGGAACCCTAAATAAGGAACGACGCCCCTGTTCTCCATAAGTCAAACTTCGATTTGCCATCGACAACCTAAGGACAACCAAAGGCAAGCTGCACAACAATTAAGGAACACTGAGCCCCTCCCCGAAGATTGTAGCCAGAGTGCAGTATCCCCAAAGAAGGTTTTTAGACCCACTGCGGTTTCCAAGGTCGATTGCGTGCCCGTCTAGTGCGGGCTGGCATGGCATGTTAAAACATGCTTCCTCCTCCTCCTCCTCCTCCTCCTCCTCCTCCTCCTCCTCCACCTCCTCTTCATCCCGAACGGCATCTCGGAACCCAGAGTTGCGAGGATGTCTCCAGCGTAACGGGCTGGACCACCTCGCGCGCGTCATTTCGGACCCCAGAGTTGCGACGGTGTCTTGGGCGAAACGTGCTGCGAGGAAGTCTCAGGCGAAACGGGCCGGACCACCTCGAGCGCGGCGTCTCAGAGCTCCTAGTTGCGGGGGCCTCCTGGGGCCTCCTGGGACCTCCTGGTGACCTCCTGGGGCTTCCTCCTGGGCCTCCTCTGGCCTCCTGGACCCCACCTGGGGCTTCCTGTTGCCTCTTGGGGCTCCCAGGGGGGATATCTAACATGTGGCCGTCGGGGCCCCCCCAAATGGGGGGGGGCACAAGAGCAGGAAAAATCAACGAATCGGCACCGGATGTGTATTAACTTGACACCTTCTGATAGGGGGCCTCCTGGGGCCTCCTGGGAGCCTCCTGGGAATCTCCTGCGGACCCCTGGGGTCTGTCCTGGGCGTCTTGCGGCTTCCTGAAG